AGAGGGGCATAATAAATGGTGACATTATTTATGTACACTCCTAAAAAGCATTCATACACACCCACAATATCATCCAATAATAACGAGACAATGAGATATAAACTCAATGGGATATAGACTCTGCAGTTAATAACAACACATCAACTGTTGTTTTGTGTGTACACTATAGCGGACGTCGACTGTATTGAGCGGTTCAATGGTTGCCAACAAAATATGTTTTGTTTTTATGGTTTAAAAAGTTTTTTGTCATTAAAACTATGGTTTCGTTCACTGAATGGCAATTGAAATGATTTAATGAATGAATCAATTAATTAGTGATTTATTTCATAGTTTAGTCCAAACTCGTGGTTAGTCTTCGGCAGCCGATAGTGAGTCGACCGCCAAATGAGTGGCCAAAATAACGAGACAATTGTCTTACACCTGATTGTCGTCGGCTTTCATCACAAGAAGGGATGTCTCGTAAGTAATCAATCCATTGGTCAATCAATTGATCCACTCATCCATCCGTGTATTTGATCCGTAGGTGGAGTACTGTTACCCACCGTTTGATACCAACGCCGGTACCGATGATAATACCGGTGTTGACAACCACTCAACGCCATCCGACGTGACCTCTGGTGACATTGAAGACAACAGCGCGAAGACATCGGCCACAGACACGACAACACCCGCGGAACCACTGGTTGGTGATCAACGGCCACAACCGCCGGTCGACACAATAGTATTGCCAGAGATATGGAAGACGTTGCCATCGCTGGCGCTTCCGGACGGCTCACACAATCACGAGAGAGACGGCATATATTTTCATTTGCCGGACCTCTTGGACCACAACCGGACCGTCTTCGGCGTCTCCTGCTATCGACAGATCAACGCAAACGTAAAGCACATCTCAATAGTCTTAGTGTCCATTAGTTTTAATTAACAACAAATCTGTTTCCCGAATGACCAGAAACTGAAGGCCAAGACGTCGGACGTGACGCGAGGAACGGTGCAGAAGTCGGTGGTAGTGCTGTCACGGCTGCCGCTGTACGGCCTCATCGAAGCCAAGCTCGAGATGATAACTCACGCCTACTTTCGGGAACTGGACTTCAGTAAAGTGTCACTTCTGGAGGAGACGTACCATAACCTGAACGCACAGCTCTCGCCACAACTCATGACATCGCCGGAGCTGTACGTAGGGCTGGCCACCAGACAACTGGTCGTCGACTTTCACCACAAGATACTGGTTCTGTTCAAACTGTTACTTCTGGAGCGCAAAGTGCTGTTTTACAAGTCACCCGTCAAACCCCTGTGCGTGTCTATACTGTCGCTGTGTTCGCTAATGCCGGGCCTCATCCGCCGCGGGCTCAGCCACTGTTCGGTCTCCGTTCACACCAAACACAGCCGCCAGTACTCGGCCGACGTCGAGCTCAGTCCACTCAAAGAGACCGACGAGTTCTTCGTGTTGGGCGCCGGCAATCAGAGATCTACAGCCGATACCACCGCCTGTGATGGAGTCGATGGCGATTCTGGCGACAGCGCTGACCCTTTTGTCGACAACACAGCGGCCGATACTGTGGACAAAGCGTGCGCTCCGACGCCTACCGACACAACTCTAATCACCGAAAGTCATAAAATTGTCACAAAAGACGAGTCCGACGACGACTTACTCTACGAAAGGGACGAAGTGTTGAGCGCCCGCTCATCGAACCGATCGTCAAACCGGTCGTCAACCAAGTCGTCGACTAAGTCATCGCCGGTCAAAGAGCACCGGGAAGTGACGGCACAGCGATCGCAGTCTGTATTCTACGACACAGAGCCCGAGCCGACAACAGCGGGCGACGAAGTGGCGGCCGACGGGCGGACACAGTCGTCGACGACGACGACTACCGAACGCATTGAAACGCCGCCAATACTTAAACTGTTGGACGAAGACTGCGGCCTACCGTTGGAGATATTCAGCTGCGGTGCGTATCTGCAGCCCTACCTCTCGCTCACGTATTTGGATGTGTTGACTGATGTGAGGGTCAGGAGCTGTTTAGTGGGCGCCACCAACTTTCTCTTCAAACAGAAAAAGGATATTTTTGATGTTATCGTCGAAGTAATGATTAGTTTTTAATTATAATTTTTCATAATTGGACTAAAAGTTGTAATTTAGTTATTAATTGGATGTATTTGTACTTTGATTTGATGGGAACAGTTAGATGCGGGCAAAGTAGACATATTGGACGCCGAACTCCGCAAACAGTTGGCGCTGACGACCGAAGACTTACGGTTCGCCGAATATCTGACCAAAACAGTGCTCACCGACGGAGAGAACGGCGATATCTTTGTGGACGGCACGGGTTGGGAGGGCAGCGATGAATGGGTCAGATATCAGTTCAAAGTTTACTTATTACACCTCTTGAGGTCATCCGAAATGGACGGTTAGCTAACCATTTGGTCACACCTTTCGTGTTATCATTCGTGTACTAAATGTTTGTTTGCATTTTATAGAGAACTCCAAAGATTATCAATCATTTAATACACATTTCGTGAACGCCTGGCGGACGACACATAACTATAAGATGTGGAGCTCTGTATCGCATCCGTCGGTGTTTGAGGTCACGTGCGGTCACCCTTTCGGCGGACAATTGAGTATCAGTGATATGAAGCTCAAGATATCTCAGTATGTATTGAGTTAAACAGAGAGAGAGAGAGAGAGAGAGAGAGAGAGAGAGA